GTATTAATGTTTAATACAACTTACAGTTTCAGCTCCTGCTACACCACCGGCTATACTAAATCCAAGACCAGGATTTTTTCTTACTTGAACAGGCAACTATAATAAAGTAAAAACATTATATTGCATCTTTACAACAAATGATAGTACTGCAAAAATTATTATAGATTATAAATTAACATACTACGTTTGCATTTTTATGAGGTCCGAACATCCATTTAAATCGTGGTCTTCTTTCTAACGTCAATTGTTCATTGGATAAATTATGTACTTTATCTAAATTATTAGTGTTGTTTAATGATCTGTTACTAGCTGAAAGTGACGTACTTCTGTCGGAGCCAGCATCGTTTTCGACGTCAACGCAATTTGTAGCGAAAGAATCCGAATGATGAGAAATATCGTTTGTATTAGTTTCGTTTTTAACCATATTTTCAATCTTGTTATCGGTGAAGCTTATATTTTGTATGTTCGATAAATTAGTATTATCATATGATATATTATTATTTGAAATATTGCTATTTGCTATCTTCTTCAATTGATTCAAAGTTTTTTCTTGTGAACTAAGCGGACTTCTATATTTTTTTCCCGTAATAGGAGACGTTGGTATACTTAATACATTTAATGTTCTCGGCAAGTCGCACTCTTCCATAATCGAATTTACACTTTTATTCAACGTATCATTGTTGCTATTCGAATTCACAATATCAGAGTGTTTTGCTCTTGGTACTGGAATTTTACTTGGCTTAAAAAATCGGTCAGTCTCAATTGTTTGATCAAGATTTGTTGTTGTTGTTTCTGACGATGAAACAAGATCATTGGTATTAAGTAATAATTTTTTTCCATTATTAATTGAACCATTATTTGTTTCTTTACCGTCGAATGTAGGATTTTTCATAGCTGCATTAACAAGTTCTTCTATTTTGACAGGTTCTACGTTTCCATTTGAACGTTGAATATCATCAACGTTAGACATGTTAGATGTATTTTGTAAGTTTGTTAAATAATTTTCTGGTTGTAGTACTAAAAAGAAATTTTAATCATTTATTATAAAAAAAAAAAGGAAGAAAAATATATATAGAAAGAAATATATATAATAAGAAATATAAATATATATAAAAACTTACTGTTATTAAATTGTTGAAAAAGTGCAGCCTTTTTTGAGAATGCAGCTGCAATGTGATAAGGCGGTGGAACTGGTGGAAATTCATTAGATCTTACTTGATCATAACTTTTGCCATCGATAATAAGAGAAGTATTATTAAACGGTTCTATAAATTTATCAGAATCAACGATCTTTGCTATATTTGCTTTAGAATATTCATCTGGCATCCAAGTTGAATTTACATAATCTGCTACTGTAGGTGTTTTAGCAATGTAATCAGATGATGGATTGCGTATATATTTTGCTTCCCGAATATCAGGACTCTTTTCTTTTGCAAGTACTGTTTTGTTAGCTTCGTCTGAAGATTCTTCTGAATTGGAATGTTCTTTATCTTGATGTATTATTGACCTTACGGAACTATTAATCTTGCAATCTTTTGGTAGATGATCAATCGTCGACACTGATAAAGATAAACTCTGCGAATCAAAGAAACATGCCTTGACTAAGAAAAAAAAAACTTGTTTAAGTTTCCTATTAAATTCATGATAAATATAAATACCTTATTAGTAAAACCTTGTGAGAAAGAAGTTCCAGATTTGGATGCATTTTCTAATGTAGTTGTAGCTTTTGTAATGATAGCTTCTTTGATCATTGTCTGCTGTTCTAAATTCATCTGGAGAATTGTAAATTATTAATTATTTATTATACAAATTTTCCTCCTCTGTATAATAGTTTTTGAAATATGCTTACTTTTTGGTCGTGTGTAGTTTGATGATGTAAATTGCGAGCATGCCTAGCAAGATTACGCAATTCTTTGGGATAAGGAGTAGGTGCTCGATGAAGTTGATTAGGGACTTCGGATTCTACCTCAGCAGCAAAACATATTCTTTTCCCAGTTCCAATTATTGAGCTTGAAATTGGTCCTACAGCTTGTGCCATTTCTAAAAAGTAACAAACGTGAACGATCACATTAATTTGTATTACAAAGAAATATATATATATAAATTTTACAAACTAAAATATTATATTTAAACATTTTTTATTTATTCTAATGTATTTCATTAATTATACTTCACCATTTCAGTCTTCATCTTGCTGATCATTATCCACTAATATATATAGCAGCAATAATATTTATAATTTTTATATTAATTATCATTTACATATTTTATATGTTAAAAAATAAATTAAAACTTACGTTCAAGATCTTGCCGTTGCTTTTGTGGCAACATAAAGCAACTCAGTACCATCATATCTTCTTCACAATTAAATTCTTGTTGTAGTGGAACCAACGGTTGACTTTGATTATCACTTAACCACAGTGCTTTTAAATTAGTTAAATTTAACATAGAAACTGGTAGAAATTTAATACAATTATTCACAAGATTAAGTACTCTTAACGAGGACAAATGGCCAACTTCTGGTGGTATACAGGTGAGATTATTAGATCTTAACGAAAGCAAAGATAATGCAGTACAGCTTCCAATTTCTGGTGGTAAACATCGCAAATAGTTATTGTCCGCATTTAAGCAATGCAATTTTCGTAAAAGTCCTATAGAAGACGGTAAATATTCAAGGAAATTCTTAGTGACTATAAGCTCTTCTAAGCTTGACATCTGACCAATGTCATTTGGCAGTGCGTTCAATTGATTGTCATCAATTTTAAGTGTCACGATTGTACGTAAATAACAGAGCGTATCTGGAAGCTGATAAATTTCATTCGACGAAAGATTCATTATCGAAATATCTCTCCATCCTCGAATTTCCGATGGAATAAGATGTACTGCATTCATGGTGCAATCAAAATGATTTAAACGATACAACTGTTCTATATTTGGAGATATACGTCGTATATCGTTACCATCTATCCACAATTCGGTAAGATTAATAAGATCACCAACAACTTCTGGCTATAGAAAAAATGAAAATGTAATTATTAAACAAAATTTTTATAACAATTGTTATACGTCAACTATTATACTTACTAATTCAGTGAAATCATTGTTACCGATATCAAGCCTTTGCAGATTTACTAAACGGCTCATACTTTTGGGAAGCGTCATCAAATTATTTTCTCGAAGTTCCAACGTTTTTAAAGCCGATAGTCGCCCAAAATTAGCTGGAAGATATTCTATATATGCATCATTAATATAAAGTTCTCGTAATCCAACAATATGCGTAATAGCATCAGGAAATCTTTCAAAAGGATTAACACTGATATCTATAGAACGAAGATTCTTGCATTCTTTTATGCTATCTGGTAACTCTTTTATAGCTGAAACATGAATGAGATTATTTCTTAAATTAATATATATATATATATAAAAGTTGTTTAATTTTAAATTTATATTTAAAAAACAAACAATGACTATATATATTTATATACTAACTGTTTTTGCTTAAGTCTAAATATTCAAGATTAATTAATGACGCTATGGCGGGTGGTAAAACAGTAACTTCATTATCGCTAAGGGAAAGTATTCTCAATTCATGGCACTGGAAGAGTGGTCTTGGAAGATCCTTTATCTGCAAAATATATTTTAATGTTCGGTGATAAACTATCACATTAAACTAGCAAATAGAAAAATATGAATAAAATCTAACTAGATAATTACTCTATTGGCATCAAGATACAATTTCTCCAATGTTCTCTCATAAATGAACACATCAGGTGGTACATCGTAAAGATTACAATGATTTAATTGCAATTCACAAATATCTTCTTCCTGTGCTCTCAGACATGCAGCGCACTGCCACCAAGCACTACCCATTTCATTAACTATATACTTGAGTCAACGTTACCCTGTGCTAACAAAATAATTGAACAAAACATGATTAATATATCAATCAATGTGCATCAATGAATACATTCTATAAAGCATAAGTTTATTGAAGGAATAACAAACAAATTAATAATAATATTACCTGTTGTCTGTTAAATGCTTTTGAACATTTAACACGCGATGGTTCAACGTTTATTCCCTTTAGAATAATAAAGTTGGATTAAAAAATCTGTTCGCATGGAAATCATTCAGCCGTCATGGGGTCGACATATCGTTTTTTTCGAGATGGTCGTGAGAGATTTATGTTCCCTCGCACCATTGCGACTCGATCGAACACAGTATAAGATATCAAAAATCAGAAGATTCTTTGATGAAACAAATATAACGATAATAATTGGCACTAAAGAAACGTCAAGAAAAAATGGGAGGTTATCGGATAAATCTCCTTAAACAATTTAGCTTACCCTATTCGAAACTCCAATAAACCATTTTTTTAACATTTATTTATACTCACCATACTGACATTTGACAATTTCAAATAAATATAATATAATGTAATATATTACAATGTAATTTAACTTTTGTTACAATTTCATGCATTTGAATGCATATACATAGTTAGAGAAATTTTTATTCCACAAAAAAAGCTCTCATCATAGTCATAGAATATTAGGTAGAACAACCGGATCTGATGTTTTTTGTCCGACTAGTATATACGTTGTATTCACACATGAAGTTATAAATCATTTCAAATATTTCACACTATATACGTATAAACTATGATATACCAATTTATCTTGAAAAAATGAATAACAAATATTCAAGACAAAATTATACATATATTTTAAGATTACATTGCGACGTTTCTTCTTTTCACATTTTTACTAACAAATAAAACACGATATTTGTTTCGTTTTCAATTCCAATTCAAAATGACCATTAAAAAAAAATATAGTCGACAAATATGGCGTTTCGATCGCTAATAAATGATATTCCTCCCTCTCTCTACTATATATTTTATATTTTTATATATAGTTATTTATCTAACTAATTATTTAAATTATTTGTGATAACAAATATATATATATATGTTATTTATCGTTTAAAATTTGATTTTTATTTCATTTGTGTTCACATGAGAAGTGTGGATAAGTGTGGATAACTTATGCTATGTTCATAATCTAAGATTGTGTATCCTTTCTTTATATTCGTAAGTTTCAGGATTTCTGTTTATATGGAAGCAATTTAATAATAAACCTCATATAAAGTTTTTTAAATAATGTTGTTGATCTTTTAATAAATGAATAACTAGTGTTAACAGTTCGTGCATCATTGAATTGAGATGGCGGTTCCTTCAGTATCTTTGTCTACAAGAAATAAGAAACATTTTCTTGGCGTACCAGCTCCACTTGGATATGTAGCTGGTGTTGGAAGAGGGTAAATTAAATGATATAATTAATCACAATTTTTAATTATATATATTGTAAAATTAACTTTAAAACAAATTTGATTAGAAATTCATTTAAAATCTAACCTATTTCAGAGCTACTGGATTTACAACACGTTCTGATATCGGTCCAGCAAGAGATGCCAATGATGTATCGTAAGTATTGTTGTAAATAGGGAAATAGTATAAACAAGTGATAAATGATTTAAAAGTAAAGATTAGTAAAATTATATCTATACGCATTGTCATAGTGTCATTTATTTCATATTAATATAACATTGGCCATTGTAACAAATATTGTGGTCACCTATCCGTGCACTAACCGTATTCATCATTGCTTAACTTTACTGATTGAACGGGCATTAATTTTTGTAACAAAGCGAGAACATTGACTAAATCATTAATAATGTACTTTTAATTTAATTAATTATTATCTTGAATGTATACAGAGATGATAGACATGCTCCACCTACAAAACGTGCAAAGAAAAAAGAAGAGGAAGAAGAAGATGAAGAAGATTTAAATGATTCTAATTATGATGAATTTTCTGGTTATGGAGGTTCCCTTTTTAGTAAAGTTAGTGTATTTATATAAATATATATATTTATTAACAATATTAGAGAAATATTGAAAACTTTATTGTTATTAATATTTAAAAATACTTCAAGGATCCTTATGATAAAGATGATGAAGAAGCCGATGCAATTTATGAGGCAATTGATAAACGAATGGATGAGAAACGTAAAGAATATAGAGAAAAACGTTTGAGGGAAGAATTGGAACGATATCGTCAAGAACGTCCAAAAATTCAACAACAATTTTCAGATTTAAAAAGAGAATTAGTTAATGTTAGTGACGACGAATGGAAAAATGTTCCCGAAGTTGGAGATGCTAGAAATAGAAAACAAAGAAATCCTAGAGCAGAAAAATTCACACCATTACCAGACTCTGTATTAGCAAGAAATTTAGGTGGAGAAACTTCTACTAGTATTGATCCATCCAGTGGTTTAGCATCTATGATGCCTGGTGTAGCTACACCTGGAATGTTGACACCAACTGGAGACTTAGATTTAAGGAAAATTGGACAAGCAAGGAATACTCTTATGAATGTTAAATTAAACCAAGTATCTGACTCTGTAGAAGGACAAACTGTTGTTGATCCAAAAGGATATCTTACAGATTTGCAGAGTATGATCCCAACATATGGTGGAGATATCAAGTAAGTAAATTTTATTTATTTATTTAGGTAATAAAAAATTGCATCGATTAATTTATACTTTTATTCATTTCTTAGTGACATTAAAAAAGCGAGATTGTTATTGAAATCATTGCGAGAGACAAATCCTAATCATCCTTCTGCTTGGATTGCATCTGCTCGGTTAGAAGAAGTAACAGGAAAGGTTCAAGCGGCGCGAAATTTAATAATGAAAGGCTGTGAAGTGAACCCAACATCTGAAGATTTATGGTTAGAAGCTGCAAGGTTACAGCCGCCTGATACTGCAAAAGCAGTGATCGCTCAATCAGTACGACATATTCCAACATCGGTCAGAATATGGATAAAAGCTGCTGACTTGGAAACCGAAGCTAAGGCAAAAAGAAGAGTTTATCGGAAAGCTCTCGAACATATTCCAAATTCTGTAAGATTGTGGAAAGCAGCAGTTGAATTGGAGGAACCAGAAGATGCTCGTATTCTTCTTAGTCGAGCTGTAGAGTGTTGTCCAACTAGTGTTGATTTATGGCTTGCTTTAGCCAGATTAGAAACCTATGACAATGCAAGAAAAGTTCTTAACAAGGCTAGAGAAAACATCCCTACTGATAGACAAATATGGACAACAGCTGCTAAGTTAGAAGAAGCCAATGGAAATAAACACATGGTGGAAAAAATTATTGATCGAGCTATATCTTCCTTAAGTGCAAATGGAGTTGAAATTAATAGAGAGCATTGGTTTAAAGAAGCTATGGAAGCGGAAAAAGCTGGAGCAGTACACTGTTGTCAAGTTATTGTTAAAGCCATTATTGGTTTTGGTGTTGAGGAGGAAGATAGAAAACATACTTGGATGGAAGATGCAGAAACTGTAAGTTATTCTTATCGTTATATTATATACATTAATTTTTTGTATACATAAAATAAACAAAACTTTGTATTAATATTCTAGTGTGCTCAACAAGGAGCATTAGAATGCGCAAGAGCAGTGTATGCATATGCATTAACAACATTCCCTAGTAAAAAATCCATTTGGTTGCGAGCAGCTTATTTCGAGAAAACATACGGTACACGTGAATCTTTAGAATCTTTACTGCAAAGAGCAGTTGCACATTGCCCTAAAAGTGAAGTACTCTGGCTTATGGGAGCTAAATCTAAATGGTTGGCTGTAAGTATTTATTTATTATATACACTTTAATGTAATCTAATCACAAATATTTCTAATTTAATCATTTTTTTTTTTTTTACATTATAATCTTTTTATTTTATTTGTGTATTATAGGGAGATGTACCTGCTGCAAGAGGTATCTTATCCCTCGCCTTTCAAGCTAATCCAAATTCAGAAGAAATTTGGTTGGCAGCAGTAAAATTGGAGTCAGAAAATGCTGAATATGAAAGAGCAAGACGTTTACTTGCAAAAGCCAGAGCATCTGCTCCCACGCCAAGAGTAATGATGAAAAGTGCAAAGTTAGAATGGGCTCTCAACAATCTTGATGCAGCTTTACATCTTTTAAAAGAAGCCCTTGAAGCGTTTGAAGATTTCCCTAAATTATGGTTAATGAAAGGACAAATTGAGGAACAACAAGGAGATTTAGACAAAGCATTAGAAACTTATAATCAAGCTGTAAGTAATTATATGTTTATATTCTATTAAATGTAATTTTTGTCTTCTATCAGAAATTGATATTTATTTTTCAATATTTTCAGATCAAAAAATGTCCGAACTCAATTCCTTTGTGGCGTTTATTGGCACATTTAGAACACAGAAAAAATCAAGTAACGAAAGCTAGATCGGTCTTAGAAAAGGCACGATTACGTAATCCCAAAAATGCAGAATTATGGCTTGAAGCTATTAGAAATGAATTAAAATCTGGTGGTGTACGTGATATGGCACATACTCTAATGGCAAAAGCATTACAAGAATGTCCTACATCAGGACTACTTTGGGCAGAAGCAATCTTTATGGAACCACGACCACAACGAAAAACAAAGAGCGTTGATGCTCTTAAGAAATGTGAACACGATCCGCATGTTCTTCTTGCGGTATCAAAGTAAGATTTTATCTCGTAAATGTGTATTTTGTGAATTCTTATAATTAATACTTCTAATTATTTCAACCATGTATTATTTATTGCAGATTATTTTGGTGCGAACACAAAATTTCCAAATGTAGAGACTGGTTTAACAGAACTGTTAAAATAGATCCAGATTTAGGAGATGCATGGGCTTATTTTTATAAATTTGAGCTTTTAAATGGTACCGAGGAACAACAAGAAGAAGTTAAGAAAAGATGTATTGCCGCAGAACCACACCATGGTGAGAATTGGTGCAGAGTATCAAAAAATATTGCAAATTGGTGTTTGAGTGTAGATCAAATTTTAATAATAGTTGCAAAAGACTTAAAGATCCCTATATAAAATAACTGGGGACAGTGCATTATATGGAAATATAAAATAATAAGAAATTTTTTTGCCTAAAATATATGCATATTGTACATATTTAAGTAAAAAAAAAAACATTATTATATTTAAATAAACTTTAAAAATATCAATTACTATGGTAATATAATTACCAAAATAAAAATTCCTAATTTAATTAGTCATTAATATTTTGTTTCTTTTTCTAATATTTATATTTCGTAAATATGTAAATGTATAATATATAAACCACATCCAAACAAATCAATTCAATTTATAATTTATTTAATTGATATTTTACTTCATTAATTCTCTTAAGAAAAAAGTACAAATAATTTTAAAAGTAAAATTAAACTTTTAGAATCAATTTGAAAAGTAACTTACAAAATTTCTTTACTTCGCTATTATTTTTTGAAAATTATGAACATTATATATAAATATATGCATACAAATTAAATAAATTATTATAATTTTGTTTAAATAACATTATTATAATAAAGAGTCAAGGTTACGTTTCCAAGTAGCCGTAACTTAAACTCAAGCACCATGATTTATTGATTTGAAGCGCCTCCGTAAGCGCTCGTATGGAAACACAATGTTTGAACATAACCTCAAAGGATGATTTTTTTTCTATGCAGTACTTAGTATGTTAGACACTTGACTCGCAAGTATATATTTGAGAAAATAAAAACGCGATAATGTATTAATAATTACAAAGATGACAAATACACTTGTACAACAATATGTCCAACGACTTAAGTCAAGACATGAAGAATCACGTACTAAAGCAGCCAAGGAATTATGTTTTTATGTTAAGACAGAATTACGTGAGGTATCTCAAGAAGAGATTACCGCATTTATGGATGAATTCAATCACCATATATTTGAAATGGTATCTAGTTCTGATATGAACGAAAAGAAAGGTGGCATATTAGCCATTATTTGTCTTATTGGAGCTGACGTTGGTAATATAAATACACGCATAATAAGATTTGCAAATTACTTGAGAAATCTCTTACCATCTAATGATGTTGGTGTTATGGAATTGGCTGCAAAAACTGTTGGCAAATTAGCATTAGTTTCTGGAACATACACAGCGGAGTATGTTGAATTTGAAGTTAGACGTGCCTTCGAATGGCTTGGAGGTGATAGGAATGAGGGAAAGCGTCATGCTGCTGTACTTGTACTCAGAGAACTTGCTGTATCAATGCCAACATATTTTTTTCAACAAGTTACTCCTTTTTTTGATCTTATATTCAATGCAACACGTGACCCAAAACCTGTGATAAGAGAAGGTGCTGTTGAAGCTTTAAGAGCAGCATTAGTTGTTACTGCTCAAAGGGAAACGGCTAAACAAATGCATAAATCGCAATGGTATAAACAATGTTATGATGAAGTTATGGCAGGATTTGAAGATTCATATTTAAAAGAAAGAGGTGTCAACAGAGATGACAGAGTGCATGGTTCATTATTAGTATTAAATGAATTACTAAGATGTAGTAATGTACGATGGGAAATAAATTATGAAGCTTTAATGGAAAGATTAAATTGTTCCGCGCAACAAAATGAAAATGACATACAATCGTTAATGCCTAGATTAAAAACAACAATAGTATCTAAATTGGCAGGAACATCTCAAAATTCTTCTGGACCTCAACATTCGTTATATTCAATACATGAATCAGCTGTTTGTCGATGTTTAATGCAAGAGAGATTGGATGATATTTATACTGATGTGATGAATCAAAGAATTTCGAGAAATCCACATATTCAACATGCACTAATGATGTTGTTACCAAGATTGGCAGCATTTAATAAGCAAAAATTTACACAGGACCATTTAAAAGAATCTATGACCTATCTTCTAATGACCTTAAGAGCTCGTGAAAAAGATAGATATGCTGCATTTATGACTATTGGTTTCATAGCTGTTGCAGTTGAAGATTCGATAAATCCATATCTTCCTAAAATTATGGAAGTTATTAAAAGTTTACTACCGTCAAAAGAAACACCTAATAAAAAACGTGGAATATCTTTGGAGCCTGCAGTATTTATATGTATAACACTTTTAGGACATGCTGTAAAGTTAACTATTGCATCTGATGTAAAGGATCTTTTAGAACCAATGTTAGCAACTGGATTAAGTCCTATTCTGACAACCTCTCTTAGAGAATTGGCACACTGTGTACCATCTTTAAAACTGGACATATCACAAGGTCTCTTAAGAATGTTGTCACAAGTTCTAATGCAGAAACCATTAAGACATCCTGGAGCACCCTGGACTGTAGCTAGTCCTGTATCCATGCCATCATCAGAAGTAGATGTTCCTTCAACAGTTCTTGCATTGAAAACACTTGGCACATTCAATTTTGATGGTAATCCTTTATTACAATTTGTAAGAAGATGTGCTGATCACTTTTTAACGTCAGAACAACCAGAAGTTCGATTAGAAGCTGTAAAAACGTGTTCTCGATTATTAAGGTTGGCACTAAATCAACCAGGACCTACAGTAACTAGCACCGTATCTACAGTTCTTGGACAATTGTTAGTTGTAGGAATTATAGATACAGATTCTGATGTAAGAAAATCAGTTTTAATTTCGTTAAATGATTCATTTGATATTCATTTAGCACAGGCAGAAAATTTATCTGCATTATTTATTGCTATGAATGATGAAATGTTTGATATAAGAGAGCAAGCAATTAGAACTATAGGAAGATTAAGTAATATGAATCCTGCTTACGTGATGCCATCCCTTCGTAAAACGCTTATACAATTTCTCACCGAACTAGAACATTCTGGAATGGGTCGTAATAAAGAACAAGCTGCCCGTATGTTGGACGAATTAGTAGTCAGTGCGCCACAACTTATTCGACCATATATGGAACCAATTTTAAAAGTTCTTGTTCCAAAATTAAAGGAAGCAGAGTCAAATCCAGGAGTAATATTAGCAATCCTTCGTGCTATAGGAGATTTAGCGGAAGTTAATGGTGCTGAAATGCAACAGTGGATGCCTGAATTATTATCAATATTACTTGAAATGTTAGTAGATGCTAGTTCACCAGAAAAAAGAGGTGTTGCTTTATGGGTTCTTGGACAATTAGTTGGAAGTACAGGACATGCAGTAAAACCATACATGCAATATCCATCTCTATTAGATGTACTTATTAATTTTTTGAAAACAGAACAACAGCCAGCCATCAGAAGAGAAACAATAAGAGTTCTTGGATTATTAGGAGCTTTAGATCCATATAAACACAAAATGAATCTTGGCCAAATAGATTCGCAATTGGATACGCTTACATCAATGGCTGATACTAAAAGTGAAGTAGAAAGTACACAAGATTTAACAACTAGTGAAATGTTGGTAAATATGTCATCACCCACCTTAGAAGAATATTATCCTGCAATAGCCATTGCTACTCTTATGCGTATCATTCGTGATCCTACACTATCTCAACATCATACGATGGTAGTACAAGCAGTGACTTTTATATTTAAAAGTCTTGGTATTAAGTGCGTTCCATACATCTCTCAAGTAATGCCAAGTTTCTTGAATGTTGTACGTTCGACAGATGCCAATTTTCGAGAATATTTATTCCAACAATTGGCCATTCTTATTGCTATTGTGAAACAACATATTCGTAATTATCTCGATGATATATTTAATTTGATTAAGGAATTTTGGATCGTGAATAGTCCTCTACAAAGTACACTTATTCTTTTAGTTGAACACATTGCAATAGCTTTAGGAGCAGAATTCAAAATTTATTTACCACAGTTAATGCCACACATATTAAGGGTATTGACACATGACACTAGTAAAGACCGTGCGGTAACAGTAAAGTTGTTATTTGCATTACAAAAATTTGGAAATAATCTTGACAATTATCTTCACTTAGTTCTTCCACCAATCGTGAAATTATTTCATGCAACTGATTGTCCTATAGTAGTGAATAGAGTAGCACTAGAAACAGTAGATCATTTAGCAGATACGTTGGATTTTACCGATTTTGCATCAAGAATCGTTCATCCGTTAGTAAGAACGTTGGATCAATGTCCAGAATTAAGAAGTATAGCGATGGATACGCTTTGTGCTCTATTGATACAGTTGGGGAAAAAATATCAGATTTTTATTACATTGGTTCAAAAGGTCATGACAAAACATAAAATTAGTAATCCTCACTATGATGTTTTAGTTGATAAGATTCTCACAGAATCGACTGTTGCGGACAGCGAAGATTTCTTGTTAATGAGACATCGACATTCAAGAAATAAGAATCGTGATTTACCTTTAGCACCATCAGATACAGCAACCATCAAACGATTGCATGTATCAGCTTCAAATTTACAAAAAGCTTGGACAGCAACCCGTAGGGTATCTAAAGATGACTGGCTTGAATGGTTAAGAAGTCTTTCTATTGGTTTACTTAAAGAATCTCCATCTCCAGCATTAAGATCATGTTGGGCTCTTGCACAAACTTATTCACAGTTACCACGTGATTTATTTAATGCAGCATTTGTTTCCTGTTGGACCGAACTCAATGATACATATAGAACAGAATTAATTCAAACACTTCAGCAAGCATTAATGGTACCAGATCTTCCTGAAATAACTCAGACGATATTAAATTTGGCCGAATTTATGGAACATTGCGACAAAGGACCATTACCATTAGATAATAAAATTTTAGGAGAAAGAGCAATGCATTGTCGCGCTTATGCTAAAGCATTGCATTACAAAGAAGATGAATTTCATAAAAGTAGAAATAGTAATGTATTTGAATCTTTAATTTCAATTAATAATAAACTCCAACAAAAGGAAGCTGCAGAAGGTTTACTTGAGTATGTTATGAATCAATACAGTCAGCAAGATCTTAAAGTTCAAGTACGTTGGTATGAAAAACTTCATAATTGGGATAAGGCGCTTCATTTATATAAGGAACGTTTAGAAAGTGATCCTACGGATGTGGAATCTACTTTGGGTGAAATGCGTTGTTTGGAAGCACTTGGAGAATGGGGACAATTGCATGACGAGGCTACGAAACAATGGTTAAATCAGAATGATGAAATAAAACAAAGAATGGCTAGAATGGCAGCAGCAGCTGCATGGGGTTTGGGTCAATGGGAAAGTATGGAAAAATATATCTCACTAATACCAAAGGATACTCAAGATGGGGCTTTTTACAGAGCAGTATTAGCGATACACGACGAACAATATGATGTTGCACATCAGCTTATTGATAGTGCTAGAGATTTATTAGATACAGAATTAACTGCTATGGCTGGTGAAAGTTATCAAAGAGCTTACAATGCTATGGTGGAAGTTCAAAAATTAGCAGAACTAGAAGAAGTAATACAATATAAGCTTGTTCCAGAAAGAAGATCTACTATTAAATCTATGTGGTGGGAAAGACTTCAAGGAGGACAGAAAATTGTCGAGGATTGGCAGAAAATAATACAAGTTCATACTTTAGTTGTTTCTCCGCAAGAAGATATGTATACATGGCTTAAATATGCTAGCCTTTGTAGAAAAAGTGGTAGCTTAATGTTATGTCATAAAACATTAGTTATGTTATTGGGTGTAGATCCCTCATTAACACCAGATCAACCTTTACCAACGACTCATCCGCAAGTAACATTTGCTTACTGTAAACACATGTGGGTAGCAAAAAAACGAGAGGAAGCATATAATCAACTGCAAAGATTCGTGCAAAATTCTCTGCAACCAACAATAGTATCGGTAATAAATCAAGAGAATGAAAAAATACAGGATGCAAGAAAAAGATTGCTTGCAAGGTGTTATCTAAAATTGGGAGAATGGTTGGAAGCTTTACAAGGTATAAATGAACATTCTATACCCGCAGTATTATCTTATTATGCTGCTGCAACAAAACATGATCCAACATGGTATAAAGCATGGCATGCTTTTGCTTATACTAATTTTGAAACTGTATTGTTTTATAAACACCAACAGGGTGATTCTAATATCGAGAATGCTTCCAACAATGGAACACGTAATAATCTTTCTAGCCCGCAATACGTATCACAATTTACTGTTCCAGCTGTGGAAGGATTTTTTAGATCAATTAATCTTTCTCATGGCAACTCTTTACAAGATACACTTCGGTTACTTACACTATGGTTTGATTATGGTCAATGGCCTGAAGTATACGAAGCTATTGTGGTAGGTATCAGATTAATCGAAATTAATACGTGGCTACAAGTAATACCACAACTAATAGCAAGAATAGATACACCCAGAACTTTAGTTGGACGATGCATTCATCATCTTCTTATTGATATTGGAAAAACGCATCCACAAGCACTGGTGTATCCATTAACAGTAGCTTCAAAAAGTGCGAGTCATGCTAGAAAAACAGCAGCAAATAAAATACTAAAAAGTATGTGCGAACACAGTCCTACTTTGGTTCAACAAGCTATAATGGCAAGCGACGAATTAATTAGAGTTGCAATCTTATGGCATGAATTATGGCACGAAGGATTAGAAGAAGCCAGTAGATTATATTTTGGAGAAAAGAATGTCAAGGGGATGCTTGATACATTGGAACCATTACATGCAATGTTAGAAAGAGGTCCGCAAACTTTAAAAGAAACGTCTTTTAATCAAGCTTATGGAAAAGATTTAATGGAAGCACAGGAGTGGTGCCATAGATATAAAGCTTCAAGAAATGTTAAAGATTTAAACCAAGCATGGGATGTGTATTATCATGTATTTAGAAAAATATCAAGACAATTGCCACAGTTGACTAGTTTAGAACTTCAATATGTAAGCCCAAAACTCCTTCTTTGTAGAGATTTAGAATTAGCTGTGCCTGGGAGTTATAGTCCAGGTCAACCTATAGTCAGGATAGCAAGTATTCATAGCTCGATGCAAGTGATAACAAGCAAACAACGACCAAGAAAGTTATGTATTAAAGGTGAAGTATTTTTATTTATACTGTTATTATAGATATTTTAAAAAGATAATTATACTAATACGTCATCTGCTTACAACTTTTTTAGGTAGTAATGGTAAAGATTATATGTTTTTACTAAAAGGACACGAAGATCTCAGACAAGATGAGCGGGTAATGCAGCTATTTGGTTTAGTAAATACACTTCTATTACATGATCCAGATACTTTTAGAAGAAATCTTACTATTCAGGTATTATGCTATTAAATAAAATGCATGCTAATTATATTATCAATCTATCTGTACTATTTATCCGTATATTTTTTTAGAGGTATGCAGTAATTCCATTATCAACAAATAGCGGTCTTATTGGTTGGGTTCCACACTGTGATACGTTACATACTTTGATCAGAGATTATAGAGAAAAAAAGAAAATACTACTTAATATAGAACATAGGATAATGCTAAGAGTGAGTTAAATTAGAATATCAATTTAAGATAATATATATTTATATCTTACATAATTTGTATTTAGTAAAATATATACTTGTTATAGATGGCACCAGACTATGAACATCTTATGCTTATGCAGAAGGTTGAAGTTTTTGAGCATGCCTTAGAACATACTCATGGCGATGACTTATCACGGCTTTTATGGTTGAAGTCACCATCGAGCGAAGTGTGGTTTGATCGTAGAACAAACTATACACGTTCTCTTGCTGTTATGTCTATGGTTGGTTATATACTTGGTCTTGGAGATCGTCATCCATCTAATTTAATGTTGGATCGCTTAAGCGGCAAAATTCTTCATATTGATTTTGGAGATTGTTTCGAAGTAGCAATGACACGTGAAAAATTTCCTGAAAAGATACCATTTCGCTTGACGCGAATGTTAATAAATGCTATGGAGGTAACAGGAATTGAAGGCACATACAGAAGAACTTGTGAATCAGTAATGTCTGTCCTACATCGTAACAAAGATAGCTTAATGGCTGTGTTAGAAGCTTTTGTTTATGATCCTCTTTTAAATTGGAGATTAATGGATAATACGACACTAAAGGGCAAAAGATCAGATGCACAAGGAATGAGTTCTAGTAGTAGCCAGGAACACGATGTCTTAGACTCTCTTACAGCTACTCTACCAAAGAAGGGTGTGCCATGTAGTGTTGAAAATGGAGGTAATTGTAATTTATAATTCAGTTACAAAATTAATTGAATTAACCTTTTAATTTTTAATATTGTAATCTTCGTTATGTAGTTTTTCATTTGGATTTTGTATGATTACTTAATTAATTAATTGATTGACAATGTGCAAACGTATTGTTTACAGGTGATAACAATCAACCAGAAGCATTGAACAAAAAGGCTTTAGCTATTATAACAAGAGTGAGAGATAAATTGACTGGACGTGATTTTTCACACGAAGAATCGCTGAGCGTTCAGCGACAAGTGGATTTGTTAATTCAGCAGGCAACCAATAATGAAAATCTTTGCCAGTGTTACATTGGATGGTGAGTATTAAATATTACTTGAATATGAAAAGAAAAATATTTTATTTACAGGTAATATATATATTAGATCATTAAATATGAAACGTCCGATTTCAAACTGAAATCGGAAAAGTAATTGAAATGTTCAGATATTATATATAAAATATAATAATTATATAATAATATAAAATATATAAAATATATAACATATATTTTTATCTACATGTGTATATAGTATAAATTGTTTGATAGTTGATATATTTATATAATAGTTACATCACCCATAATTGATATTAAATGATATTAACAATATTTCATATAATAATATTATTTTTTGTTTTCTCTTTTTCTTTCAGGTGTCCATTTTGGTAAATTATAAATTACAATAACAAAATTCGAAGTGATTATTATAGCCCTTAGTGCTTTTTCTGCACGTGCAATGTGAGTGATAACAAAATAGATGTAATATTTGCTTTAACTTAATATATAATCAAAAAAAAAAGGAAAAATTATAAATATTTATTGGAGAATTAATGATATATTATTAATATTTTTTTTCAATAAGCATAAAACAAAGCCATTTAAAAAAGATTAATATTAAAGCAAATGCAGTATAGACTGTTTGTGTAATAAATAAATGAAGCATCAGCTTCATATTTTACAAAAACAGTTTACATTGCATTAATTTTGTATGTAAAAATATATATTCAGGCTATTCACACGACGCATTTCAAATAATATTTGTATATAATTTCATTAGTTATTATAGAACCTCATTTTTATGTTTGTATTTTAATCTTAATTATATCGCTTGTGTGTGTGTGAACTATGTTATAAGATAATATAAAATATTTAATTTTTCATATCCATTTGACTAAATGAAAAAGGAAGTAAATCATTTATCGTAGTCCGTAATACATCTTTCATATCAGACCCTGCACAATAAATAGGTATATTTCCAAACTCTATGATAGCTTGTCGACACATACCACAAGGTGTAGTTAATTTATCTTCTAATTTATCCGCGATTACTGCTAATACTTTAAACTTTTTATTCCCTTCTGATATTGCTTTTGCAATAGCTGCTCTTTCAGCACATATTCCAACAGGATATGATATATTTTCTACATTACAACCCTTAAAGATTGTTCCATCGGTACAAAGTATTGCAGAACCCACTTTAAAATTGCTGTAAGGTGCATACGCATATTCTCTTACTAATGCACTTTGTTTTATTAACTCTTGAATGTCTGAATCTATAAAAATAAAACAGATAATAATAATAATAATAATAATAATAATAATAATAATAAAAAGACAATTTTTCAGTTTTTAAAGTTTTAACTTTTTTATCTAGTAAAATAATATATATTTTATAAATATATAATTTATTTTGAATATAATATTATATATTTAAGTTGTACTTTATTAAAGATTTATAATCAAACGATTGTGGAAATAAGACACCATTGTATATGTAACACTGAAATAAATTTGTACATATATAATAAGAAGAGAAGGAGAAAACATCCAATATCGCTAAAATAAATGTATTTGCGTTTGCGAGAAAGAGTTATCTTATCTATATATATTATTATCTATATATATATATATTTATAAAACAAAATAAGATTTCTTAGATGACAAGATTGTAAAAGGAATTCCTGTTTTTTATTGAAATTAATTGTCAATAATATATACATGCATATGAAAGTTTATAAAAAATAAGAATAAAAATGTACATTCAATATCTTCAATGTAAATAAATTATTTACAAAATTGTTAACATTTTTATTTTTATGATAATGCATATTATTATTATGCACAAGTATCATGCAGATTTATTTTATATGTAAAAATTTGACTAGTTGATTTAATAATTGTAATAATTATATAATCATATTTGCTCTTAATCTTCTTCTCTCTTTTTTTTTCTTCGATAAGATATTTTATCGAATAGAGACTGTTTTTGTAAATTAATCAACACAGATAAACTCGTTATTTATCAAGATGTGATCTTTAAAAAAAGACTCTTAGAAAAATGAAACCGTTCTAACACATTTCTAATAGAAAATAATTTATTATTTATTCTTTCGACTTATCTTACAAAGTATACCATAAATTTCCTTTTTTTTTACCATACGATATGATTTAAGAAAGTTTTGAATTATATTTAAACAAACAGATTTGAACATATGTTAACAGTAGCGTTTAAATATTGGATAAATTAACATACAAAGTATTAAATAAATGTAAATTTTTTACTGACATTGATAATAAGTAAAAAATAATAGATTTTTATTGCATGCATATGTATAAACATTGAAAGAGACAAATAATATAAGAATAATCGAAATCAATGGGTTTTAACATGTACAATTCATTCTCCTCAATAAGTTACTGTGGTAAAAACAATATTATTAAAAAAATATCAGTGTCACATAATTACCAAGCGATTTAAAATCAACTATTTCTCCAATTTGATTCATTCTGTCGTTGTACGCACTTGATTTCTTTATTTAAATATTTTTTTTTTCTAGAAATGAATTGTGAGAATGAATAATTATTGAAGATGCCTGAGAACACAAATATGCCAAGTAAATCTTATGTGAAACTGATATAGTGTACGAGTCTTACGTCAAACTGATATAATATACTTTAAATAAGATATCAAATATAAACAGTATGTATGTGGTGGCACAACCAATGTTATATGTAACAACACATGCTGCCGTTGTTGTTATTCACAAATTAAACGAAACTTGAACAAATTTCAAACTATAATTTAAACGTAGTTATAATTTTTATTTCTTTTTATAATTTATTATCTTCTATATTATATTTCAAATAAAACGATCAAAGAGAAATAGCCGCACAATTATACATCCGTAGGAATAAATTTATTAAAACAAAAATTTTTTTCTCATTGTGCAATTAAATTTATTGTTGTAGATTCTTGTTTTTAAAAAAATGTACGTATACGTATAAATGAGGGAGGTTGGAAAAATTCCTATCTTTAGTTATTTTTTTTAAATTATTATTTCGTGACTGCACTGTCACGATAACGCGCCATCTAATTAATTTTGTTATAACTATAAAAGTCACTATTTACTTTTGCATAAAAGCGTACCTTAAATGTTGCCGCCAAAATTTGTTCAAAATAAATTAAATGATTAACGTGACACTAACAATAAGAAGAATATTATAGTGTATTTTATAATTAAAAAGACTTTTTAGTTCTTTGTTTGTTATAAAGTTTGTTTCTTTAATTAAGCATTTATGATCTAAAATGAAACGTTGATGATATTGAAAAAAAATACAATAAATAGGAACAAATGATAACCTAATCGTAATGGATAAAAGAAAGATCCGATCGAAAGGAATTTTACATAAAAATGTAAATGTAATTTCAAGTCAAGTATCAACAAGTAATTATATTATCGACGATGATCAAACAAGTAATGAATTAACATCACGAAAACGTAAGCTACCTGTTTTGGATATATCAAAAAGCAGAACCAAGAATGATTCAAATTTTTCTTCTTTATCTCAAAATGAAATAATAGCAAAAAAAAGAAAAAGTGATGTAAATCTAGAACAAGAAATAAATAAGCTTTCTAAATATGATAAACATTTACATACAATATCACAGAAAAGTAAGCTTACTCAACATGAAAATCATTCAAATACAATTGATACGACATCAAAGAATAATAAACTTACTCAAAATGAAATATGTTCAAATGTAACAGATAGAAGATCAAAGAAAAGAAAGCTTACTCAACATGAAAATCATTCAAATACAATTGATACGACATCAAAGGATAATAAACTTATTCAACATGGAAAACATTCAGATATAACTGATATGACATCAAAGAAAAGTAAGATTTCTCAGCACGATGAACATTCCAATAAAAATGAAACAAGATCAAAATCAAAAGTTAGGAAAACTCCTCTCAAAACAAATGAAACGTCTAATGTTTTAGAAAAAAGTAACAACAATATTGTCATACTAGAACAAAGTAGAAATATAGACGAAGATGTTAATAAAATAGAAATTACTAAAAAAGCAAAACTATTCATTGATTTTATTAAAGAATGTGGTATTAAATTACTTTTCGATGGCACGCATAAATTCGGTAAGTTTTTTCTTCTATTTCTTTTATTACATGATATATAGTAAATATTGTATTATATAATACATGTATCTTTTATTTTTTAGATCAAGAAGTTTCAATAATAAAACAAAATATGAAAGAGAAGCTAAAAAGTAAAGAGTATCAAAAACAAGAAATTATAAATTCATTAGAAGAATTTATTGATAAACAACAAAATTTACAAAGTATTTTATCCGATTATGAAGTATCTTCTGATTATCGAAGTTTCGATCATATAAGTAATACATGTATCATAAGAATTCTATTGCAAGTACAAGAACTACAACCTGATATACATGTATTCTTTCTAAATAAACTGAACGAATCTGTTTTGTTAGCGTAAGTGATATTATTTTCTGAAAAATTTAAAATATTTTATAAAAAAAATGTACGAAATTAAAATATATATTTTATATTATATGTTAGATTCAAATATATCATTATTTTACAGCGAATCTATAGAAAAAATACCTTGGGCTCGACTATTATTGCAAAAATTTCGTTTTTTAGAAATTATTGTCGATCCGGATGAATTAACTAAATGTTTCGAACAGCTTCTAGAGACTTGTCCATTTTGGTTTCAACGGGAATTAATTCCGTATATACCTGATATAATAATGGAAGTACAACATCAAGCTATTGCTGACATTCTTAATAAATTAATGGATGATAATACTGATCTGATAGATACAGTATTAGACTGTATTAATAATTTAACACTTGGAAAAGAATATTTGAATGATTATAAGGATAAAGTACTAGAAATGTTGAATAAACATTTAAAAACAAATTTAATACCTGCCATCGCTAAGTATGTACAATATTTCTAAATCAACATGAATTCGTAAAAACATGAATATATCGAAGAATTTATTAATATTTATTGCACAGATTTATTCTCAGCGATTGTACAACGGTGGAAGCATACAAGAAAATATTATGCGTATTACGCAATCTCGATATGCAGCCTCTTCACGGTGAACAATTTGAAGATTGTTATAAAAGTCAAACGATTATGATCCAAAATATTAAAATGAATATTCTACTGTCAAAGGACATGATATCTGCGGCGTTGATGATTATAAAAAAAGTTACGAAAGATCCAAAACCAATGGATATAATATTACTACTTCTTATATTGCCTACTGGATCATCAAGAAAGAAAAATGTTGATGCTATTTTAAAACAACACGTGCGGTCTGGATTTTACAGATTAAGTTTACTTCAACTTTTGTATAATAATTATAAAGAGGTATGCAATTGTAATTAATAATTATAAATTCATTTCATTTCTTATAGTCTATTTTGTACAAATAATTTGATTTGAAGGTTGTACGAGATTTACAATCATCCACATTACAATTAGCAAGCAATTTGTTAAAAGCGGAGGAAAGAATTTATGTTGATTTTGCTATTGAATGGTTGAGATTACAGTTTCTCAGTCAAAAAGATGCCATTCATAAGCAACGTGAAATAATAGAAAAACTTATTTTGCTTATGGGTAATAATGATCAAACAGCGAGGAATGCCCTTAAAGTATTGTGTAAAATGGCAGAGGGAAAAGAAGAAAAAGAATATTTGTATAAGCATTGCAATCATTTGAGAATTCTATTAGAAAAAATAGATCATTTTGGTATAGAAGAAGTTGGCACATTAAATGACTTATTACACAGTTTATGTTCAAGTACACTAGCAGATACTTTACGTGATGATTTATTTATAGTATTACAAAAGCAACTTTCTGCCATTAAACCATTGTTAGTATTATTACTCTGACAATTATGACAACTCTGCATAAATATAATTGTATTTCTTTTTCTTTTCTTGTTATAGAATCAAATGCAAAGGAGTTCTTGCAGCAGTAATGGCAATAAAACATTTGGCGTACAAGTCAGACACTCATATGTCTGCTCGCAATTTATTCAGTAGGAAATTGATATACTTTATATATCCTGTTTTTACTTCTCTTTCTTTAATTTTTTTTTTAACTTAAATATTTTTTTTCCATAGAAAAAGTTTTACATGCAGTAAAATCATATCCACGTTCGCAGGCATTATTTTATGATCAACTGGCACAAGTTATTTCACAAACCGAATCTATTAATGAAGAATTCCTTCAATACGTGGTCGCTTATCTACAAGAAGAATTAATCAATACGTACATGGTTAATAAATCAGATTATAAGTAAGTCAAATTTATTAATAAACGTATGATAATTAATTCAGATTATTTTTATTTAATGTATTGGTATTATTTGTAGCGGGGAACTTATACCTAAATTTGGTTTGAATAATGTTGATGATGAGCCACAGAATTTGGTATTAAATTTTAGTAATAGAAAGTACGGAGCTATTGTGCCTATTACGTTTAGATTATTAAAAACCTGTTACATGAAGCTCAGTGAAAATGGGAACTTGGAAGAAATAGATTCTTTGTTAGGATGTTCCATTCTAATGCCAGACAATTTTGATGTACCGGAGCCTTTAACAGTAGATCTTGTAATATCTTGTATTAATTGGTGAGTAGATATTGAAAATCAATAATAAATATTATTTAATGATTAATTATATATATATATAACATTTAGATATGTTGTTTACAGGTTTCGAGAAATTATAAGCGGCTTTGTAACCCAATCACAACCTTTATTACGAAAACAAGTATTAACACGGTTAAACGATTTAATGTCTTTGCAAGGAGAATTAAGTCCAATGTTATCCCTTTGTGATTCAAAATATCAACCACCGCCATGTTATTTTCATTATTTCCCACCACCACCCTTTTTAAAAGTCGAAAAAACTATAAAAAAGAAAGGAAGAAAGAAATCATTAGAAAAAACTGTAAATACATGTGGCGAACAAGGAAGTTGGGAAATGGGTTCTACATTGTGCTTTAAAAATCCAGCCTATTTTAGAAAACTCGATGCCAAAGTATTTTCTCATATTTTTATCTTTCTTTATTATCTTATTACAAAGTAAGTTATTATTTTGCTAATTCCTTCTGTATCTCTTTTTCTTTTTAGATAGTACATTTACTAGATTTTAAATTAGATTTACATGCATCGCCAACAACAGAAAGCATTTCAATATCCCAAGTATGTTTTATTGTTAAAGAAGTCCTGGGAATGTTCGAAAATGATCTTAATGAAGCATTTGTGAAGGATATTATAAATTTGTTGCCAAAAATATGCGAGAAGTTACATGAGATTGTAGAAGAACTCAGAGAAGAAGACGTCGATGAAAAAAGAGAAGCAGCAAGATTAATATTATCTCTTTTAACAACAGTTTTTAATTGGAAAGAATTTCATAGTGCTATTTATAATCCATTACTTCGTGGTATAGTACAGATTGTTTTTATATTCCTTGTATCAGAATACAAGTTACAATAGTTAATCATTTTCATGCATTTCAGAGGGATTAAGAATATTAGCGTGTCAACAAAATGATTCGAATTTAACGCTTAAATCTTGCAAAGAACTTGTTACTGAATCATGCAAATATATTGAATCTTTATCTGATATAGCCACAAGAATATCAATCAGTGTTGCTCTTATTACAACTAATCAATCAGTAATGAAACATTCAGAAAGTTATATGCTGGAGCATAAAGATAATAATGGTAAAAACATATATAATAATGAATAATAAAATAAATATTTTTAATTATGAAATTAGTAAAACGCCATGTATATAATTTATAATTTTACATGTTAGCAAAAATGGCATTTGGATTTTTATCTTTGGACTGGTCTAAAGATAAACACGCTGGTCCTTCGTATAAAGCTGCTGTTAGTACATTAATAAGAAGTTGGATTGATTATGAATTATCACCGCTCGATACCATAACTATGTTATTGGAATGGTTACCAAATGAAGTTACAAAATTAGAAAAATCAAACGATTACTTGGATAGATTGCCATCAATAAATAGAAATAATTTTCACTTACTGTATAAAAAGATATTCGATGGTATAATTAAAGGTGTGAAAATATCTTTATCGACAGCTACTAGGTAAAATGAAAAATCTATACACACATAATAATTCAATAAATTTTTATAACTTATTAAAGATTCGATTTTTTCCTTTAGAGATCCTGAAAGGATACAAATATGGCTAGATGTTGGAACGAATGTTCAAAAAATGGTACAAATATGTAAAACATTGAAAACAAAAACTAATATACTTATCTTCTTACGATGTATGCCTCTCCTTTTACGATTATTCTTAAATTCTGGCATACCAATTTTGGAACATAATTTAAAATACCAATCAGATGATATAACTAAATCAGTAAAATTGATGCAAGGTATATACATATGATGCATAATCTTTGTTAACTATAGCACGTACTAAAAGTTAAAGTGTATTATAATGCATTAAGAGAAAAATGTAAACACATTTTAATATTTAATTAATTATATTCTACTGCATATTGTAGTTGGTACAAAGTATTTGCATGCAGTATGTTGCGATGGGATGGAGAAAAAAGACACGATATTATCAAAACATATACCCGCAGCAAAATCTGTGCTTGAAAGATTAGTCTATAGCGTGAAAGGAATGTTTGTACTAAACAACAGTTCTACAGCATTTTGGATGGGAAATCTTCTAAACAAAAATTTAGAAGGTCAAGAAATACTTTCTCAGGTATTTTAACAATTGTGTTCTAATTAAATACAAATAATTGTAAATATAAATTATATATATATATTGCAACTCAATATCTTCAAGATGCAAAAATATATCAAAAAGAAACAACTAATATATTTTATTTGTAGGTAACATCATCCGAAGAAACGACGTTACCAAGCATTGATTCGATTACGAATGAAACATCAAATATATCGTCGGAGCTACTACAAAGTGATTCAAATGATGAGAAGTCTATAGAAAATATGGAAGATGGTGATGGTTGTGATGATGATGATGATGATGATGATGATGATGATGATGATAATGATAATAATAATGATAATGACGGTGATGATAATGACGATGATGATGGTGAGTATCTCTTTAATATTACTAATAAATTGATATAAATGCGTGTATCTGTGTAAATTTGCTAAACATTAATTAATCATCTCATTTATTAGTCTACATATTTATTTTCCAGACAACCCAATATAAGTGTTATATACTATATTAACATGCAACCAATTATCAAAATCAGTTTTTCTAATTACCAGTTAAGATATCGTTAAATAATTGCCGCTTCCACGATAAATCTGGCATAAGAGTTTCTTCCACAAAAGTTAGTTGATTTAAACCATTAACCATTAATATAGTATGAGTTCTTGTACCATAGTCAGCAAGAGAAACAAAAATAGAACTTAGCTCAGCACACTTATTTGGTGATCTTTTTTGTAATTCAAGATCCGGTAAATGTCTATAAATGATAAATAATAATATAATAGTTTTAATATATATTAATATACGTCTTTTTAGTAAGTATATTATATTACATACCTTTCTTGTAACTTTAAAAGTTCTAAAAGATTTTCTATAATATCATCCTGCTGCGAAATTTTAACATTACTGACAATACTCGCAAATTTTTCTTTTCCTACTTGAACTTTTTTATAAGGACATTCCATTAAACTATTCCCAATACCTATTACATCATCTTGACACATTTTTGGTCCCAAAGAACTTAAAGAACTATTCAAGTAATACACATTTGCGGTACTAAATGAAAACGAGAAAACAAAGTGTTATATGGTAACAAATAATTTTGATCTTAATAAATTAGTTCTCCACAATCTTAATAGATAAAGGATGAATACATACTACATATTAATCAGAATTAAATTAAAATGATTGTAGCTTTGAGTATTTTGATTTTCTCGATGCAATTTTTTTAGATAACATTCTGCAGAATCATTAGAAGTAATGTAGTCATTAACTAAAGTTCCACGACCCTTTTTTGGAGTTGGAGTTTTATCTGGTTCGTTACTTAGATTTAAAATAATACCAGCTTTTCCTTTTTTTGATAATGCGAACCAAGTACCACCCTCTTTACCAGATTCCATGTCGATACCTAATAGCAGTAAAAAGTAAGAATATAATAAGATAAAAATTATTATAAAATGTTGAAAGAAAATTAACCTTTAAGTAGACATAAATATATATACATATAAAAGAAAAAACTATATAATTGAAATATACCTCCTAAACACATAGGATGTTTTTCCCAATAATGTGCAGGTAAAGCTGGACGCTTAAAATATTCATCACGATTAGCAGCAAGGATTAGCCGATAAGATTCAGCATTGGCATTAGGATTTCGATAAATAAATAAAATACACATATTTTTGTTGCGAACTATTGGAATGGTCTATGAATGCATTTGATCTACATTCTTATATTTAATAAAGCAAAATTATTTGATTGTTATCTATTGCTTCTGATAAGATAAAGACAGTACATATTCATAAATTAAGATAATATCTTCATATTAGTATAATTAACAATTAAGATCGTTAAAATTAATAAGCACTTCTTATTTCATCTTATTTTGATAAGTGTATTATAGGAATTTATTGTAATTCTCAATACGATATTCATATAAATATTTAAGAACAAGTATATATATATACTTAAAGAAGTTAATTTTTGAAATATACACAATTGAAGGTAAATTATAGAAGATAAATACTTTAGCTGAATCTTGATTGGGTAATATTTATATTCAGTATTTAATGTAATCTAATCAAAATCTCGTAGGATTTCGTGTCACCGATTGATTAATTTTTTAATATTAACCTTCATCTCTTTATCTCTTATCTTTTTTATCACATAAATAAAATAATATATAAATATATAATATATATAATATATATAAATATATAAATAAAAAAAAACTAAGAGTAAAATCTGATAATAATAATAATCACTCCAAACTCAATTGGTCTATCTGCGCATGCGTAAAAGTATACGATATTTGCGTCACAAATACTTTGGAAATGACTTCGGAATGCTATTAAGTATGATCAGCTACGAAAGTTAAACATTGATTAATAAATTCTTAATGATTCTATTTATCTGTGTTAATATGTGAAAAAAGAATCTGAAAGTAATGATATTGATTAAATTAACAAACAAACAAATAAATAAAATGTTTAAAAAATGTAATGTAACAAAAAGTCTAATTGAAGTCACAGAAGAATAACCTTTTACCAAGATGACACAATTCATTGGCACGATATTATGAATTGATAATTAACTTTAACTTGGTACTGCGGTGGTTTCTGGATGATAATTATTAAACTGTAAAGAAGATATATTTTACTAAAATTATTCCATGATTTAGTCTTTTTTTTTACTTATTCCACAATCTAGTCTTATAATCTAATCACGATTAATAATCATCATAGAAGTTTTTATTCTCTGCAACAATGATAAATGGGATGATTAAGTGAGTGCACTTTATCATAAGTATTAATTGATAGTAATATTAATATATGACTAATATTTTTCCTATATTAGAAAATAAATTTATGTTAGGAAATGACAATAATCATCATTCCATTTAATAAACCCTTATTCCATTTTACAGTCTCTATTAATAAATATTTATTATAAATATAATATAGAGTATATAAATATATAATATAATATATGTGAAACTCAATGAAAGTTAAGGTTTAACAAGTTTGTATCAAGGCTCATTTCTAAAGGTATTTATAATAATTACATATATACAGATGATTATTTTTTAGACGATGATATTAAATGAAAAATGTTTATAAAACATTTTTTCTCTCTTCTTTTAGATATGTCAAAACACATCGAGTTACAACATTTAGTTGACGAAGATGTGGAAAGTAATACAGCCTTCCATCAAAAGCAAATTTCAGCCCCAATTTGTAAATCATGTCCATATCTTGGTTTAGTACTAGCAACACTTTCATCTTTATTTTTCTCATTATGTAGCGTTATTGTTAAAGGATTAGTAGAAATTAATCCAATGGAATTGGCAGCATTTCGATTCGTTGGGGTATTATTACCAGCAATACCAATTTTAATTTACAAAGGTGAACATCCGTTTCCCAAAGGACGTCGGATAATGTTAATATTGCGAAGTTTTGTAGGTACAACTGCTCTCGTGCTTAGTTTTTATGCTTTTAGATATATGCCTTTAGCGGATGCTTCCATTGTAGTATTTTCCGTGCCTGTATTTGTAGCAATATTTGCGAAAATATTTTTGAAAGAGCCTTTTGGATTATTTAACATATTGACCGTATGTTTAACATTAATTGGGGTTGTTTTAATAACTCGTCCACCGTTAATATTTGGAAATACCATAGAATCTCTATCAGATGGTAATAATACATCGGAACATGCAAATTTATGGGGTGCAATAGCAGCATTTTCTGCAACTTTATTTGGTGCTAATGTTTACGTCTTATTGCGTGCATTAAAAGGTCTTCATTTTTCTGTTATTATGACAAATTTTGGATCGCTTGCTCTAATACAAACAGTTATTTTTTCTTGGGCAATCGGTGCTCTTTGTTTACCTCGTTGCGGAGCCGACAGATTGTTGGTTGTTGCTCTTGCATTATTCAGTTTTGGAGGTCAAATTTTACTTACTTTAGCTTTACAAATAGAACAGGCTGGTCCTGTCGCTATAGCAAGATCGACTGATATAGTTTTCGCATTTTTCTGGCAAGTTCTCTTTTTCAACGAAATACCTAATAAATATTCGGTAGGTGGGGCAATCTTGGTAACAAGTTCTGTTTTATTGATAGGATTAAAAAAGTGGGCTGTGTCATTGCCCGACACATCCAATATTAAGAGATCATTGAGCATATTAGCAATGTAGTTTAGAAATACGAGATAAATTAATTGATATAAAGTTTTTGAATAATTTTTAAATCTGCGGGTGTTCCTAATATATGTCACAATTATGTTATTGTCTTATCGTATCTTATATTATATGTATATGAATATTTTCAAAATACACATTTGTTTAAACATAATATATCTACCGTTATATTATGTAGACATATTCAATACATATTTTAATGAATTTGTCAATTACTTTTTACGAAAGATTGTGATACTAAATTTATATTAGATTTAATATTACATATTAATTCTAACATAAATATTTAATGCTAATAGAGTATTTTCTTCAAATATTTTCAATCATTTTGTATACGTCATAATAAACTGCATGAATTATTTTATAAAATTTGTCAAACACAATTTGACAAAAATATATGATCATTCTTCTTCTATTCAATTCGCGATAATAATTTAAATTAACATTTAAATTTATAACAAAATTATTATTATTATTTTTTTTAATTATCAATATTCTTGTCCCAACAGTATATTAATATATATGAGTTTCAAAGGGAAATTAAAGACAGTTAATAAATTTGATGAACAATTTATTATGACCTTGTTGAACGTTTCGTCCCTTACTGGGGACTTCCTCAGCAACTACAAATTTTTTAATTATGACTTGTTAAAAAAATATATAAACATTACAATAAATAAACTCTAATTTTTTTTTTACCTTGATCACTTAGTTCACGCGTCAATAYATATTATTTTATTTTCAGAGTCATACATTAGATGATGGATTCATTTTGTAATTTTATTGTTAAATTATTCGCCAATTTYTCAAATCTGTTGGTAGGATCCTTGCTTAAAATACTGTATGTGTTTCTATCTTCCAACAGTTTTTTCATTTCTTTGATGTATTCTTCCTTTTCCATGATAACTGTGTTATTTCCTTTATCCGATCTTGTTATTATTAAGTTCGGATTCTGTTTCAAGAAACGTTTTGTTGTTAGATAGTTWTCTTTCATTTCATTCTTCCATAGTTTTTGGTTTTTTTTATTATTGTAATAGTTCGAAATTATTCTCACCGCTTTTGATCTTACATTATTTTGCTCATCCTTTATTATTTTAGTGTCAACATTTTCGATGTAAATATTTTTTATACCTTCTTCTAGATCTTTTATTAAAGTGCCTACTGGCACTTCCTTGGGTCTTTCCGTTTGTCAAACCTTTATCGAATAAAAGAAAAAAAATGTTTCAGAAATACTAATGTAAAACTAGTTTTTTATAACTTAGTTAAAATAAATTCAATATTCACAAAACTAAAAGACAAGGTTGATAAACTAGAACAATCNAAAGATTAGAACAACATAAGAATGACTGCAAACCTACAAATGCTCAAAAGAATAATATTACTGCGTTAGCCGAGCACCATTTTATAACAGGACACAAGTTCAAATTTGATGAGACAGACATTTTAGATAGAGAAGACAATTGGTACAAAAGAAACATAAGCGAAATGTACCATATAACAAATAATAATACAGTTAACTACAGAACAAACACGAATATTCTAAACAACATCTATAACGAAATTTTAAAATTTAATTATCATAACAGGACACACTGATAGAGGACATCATAATACGGAAGATAYCTAGATTATTAAACACTAGTCTAGATAGAATTCAGTATATGATTACGTGTGACGAGATAAGGTGTTTTTAGGATTAATTATACTATAATATGTTAAGTTTTATTGTAATGTATGACTCTGGAAATAAGATAATATGTATTGACGCGTGAACTAAGTGATCAAGGTAAAAAAAAAAATTAGAGTTTATTTATTGTAATGTTTATATAGTTTTTTAACAAGTCATAATTAAAAAATTTGTAGTTGCTGAGGAAGTCCCCAGTAAGGGACGAAACGTTCAACAAGGTCATAATAAATTGTTCATCAAATTTATTAACTGTCTTTAATTTCCCTTTGAAACTCATATATTATTATTATTATTATTATTATCATCACCACGAGATATTGGTAATACTATATGTATTTTTGATGTTGCTCATAGGATAAAGTTTGATTGTCATGTTGGTAGGATTGTTTAAAAGGCTAGAGTGCATTTAAATATCATTGAAATAACCAAAACAAACTAATCTTCAAAATACATCGCTGGCAGTATCAGTCAGCGATAAAAATCGATTTAATTGTTCTATAATGGATAAAGTTAAACTATTTATATTATGTAATATACTTTAAAATTTGTCGTTTATAGTAATGAATATACAATTAAAAATTATAACAGTTCAAAATTGAAAAAAATAATAATAAGCGATTCTCAACCATCTATCAAAATTTATAGAAAATATACAAATTATTAGTATATTATTATTAATATTATTATTATTATTATTATTATTATTATTATTATGTAAAAATGGAATTAAATAAAAATCGAAATCTAATATCAAAAAGACATTCGTGTTCATTCTTAACATCAAATTCTGCTGATAAAAAAGGTACAAATTTACATTTATTTGTTATTAGTTGTATAAACACTATGTTAATGATATTTTCTTTATTAACTAAACATTTATTAATACTTCATATTATTTATTAATCTATTGAAAGATAAATCTCAAGGAAAAACAGAGCCAAATGAAATTAATTACGGATTATCCAAGGATATATACAATATCAAGAATAATAAATATCCCAAACTAACTATCGGAATGTTCTTTGAATTTATGAGAACTGCGTATCAAGTCAACGACAGCTTTGAAGGCTTGGCTGCTGTTCTAACAAATAAAAGCGAAATAGATTGGAATAAATTGGCAAAAATCAATTTAAATTTGGATATGACAATCAATAATAAAAAGTCACCTAACAACGGTCAACTACCCAATGATTTTAAATCTAATGAATTTGAAAGTTCTAACAATGAAATTTCGGATTTAACAAAAGCGCTAAATACGTGTATGAGCAAAAAAGCAGAATTCTATATACCAGAGATAGAAAATAATAAAGTTGATAATAATTTACCGTTACCTTCGACTACTAATCAATATAAACAAGAAATAAAACCTTTACAAAGCGTTCATGATACTGAATCAGTACTATTTTTGCGAACTGTAAATTGTTCCGAAAAGCAAGACCAATTCCAAAATACAAAATCTAAAGAAAATAATATTAAGGATAAAAATCAATCGTTGGAGCATCTATCACACGTAGAACTATCAAAAACTAAATTAAACACAGAAGAAAAAGAACATACTTTAACAAATGTAATGAGAAAAAATTTGAGTGATATATTGCACGAAGGATTGTTAGATTCTATACTGCCATATATGCTTCCGAAGCCTGTAACATCACAACCTATTATTAAAAAACCCAATGCTAGTATAGACATCAAAAAAAGTACTTCTTTACCCAACAATATTGATAACGGAATAATGAATAATCTATCAATCTCTAAAGATAAAGAAAAAAATAAGCAAACTAAAAAAACTGCAGAGTTAGTATTTCATTTAAATCTTGCTTTTTGGTGTTATCAATTTATATGATAATATTATGAAAAATTATATATGTTACTTAATCAATCCAAAATATATTATTCCATATTTATTTTTTTGTTTTTTTTGAACAATTTCATTTTATTACAAAAACGCACTACCATTATAGTAATACGCGTTAATTTTCATAGATCAATGTATTCGTACAATTTTAGTTTCTCTTTTTTGTTTTATGTTTATCATTAGTATGACAGAAGTAGAAATTCGTGTATGCGACGAAGGAAAAAATATGAAGAAAGAATTTCGATGTCCTCAAAAATTACTTATACAAAAAATGCATTATTTTGCTGGTATAACGACCAACAAGAAATTAGAAGAAATGGATATATCTGTTCATTGTGATATAGTTATATTTGACTGGTTAATGAGATGGGTTAAAAAAGATATCACTAAAAAATCTGAATGGCCTACTTTAGATGCAAGCAATGTTATTCCGATAATGGTTTCTGCATCCTTTCTACAAATGGAACCATTAATAGAAAATTGTTTACAGTATTGTTACGACAATATGTCAGATATCTTAAAAACATCTACAACTTTAACATGTCTGAACGATAATCTTCTTACAAGGTAAAATATATATTTCATATTTTTAAACGATTAACTTTTAATATTTTCATTATATTTTATATTATAAGATTGGCTAAACTATTTACAAATGAGGATATAGAAAATTTGCAAGACAAAAAAGATAAAATTCAAAGCCAATTGTTCTGCCAGTTCATCGTGTCATTAATAGAAATTAATCCAGATAATAAAAGAGGACATTATGGTTCTTTGGCTACTTTGTTTAAATGTGGTAAATGTAATAAAAATGTAGTTCAATCAATTTCTGATTTCATTCCATGTGTTTCAACTGCTATGCAAATAGATAATAAGGGGACCATTCATAATAGACATACAAGGTAACATTGATATATTATTTGATATATCAATTATTTTATGTAATGGTAGAAAAGGAAAGAAAATTTGTTTTCTTTTTTTGTTTTAGAGATTCAACGTGGTCATTAAATGAATATATTACCAATTTGCGCTTAGAATTACGTTCATGGCGTAAAGTATATTGGAGATTATGGGGTGATTGTCATTTTCTCTTTTGTCAATGTTGTAATACATATTTTTCAATCCACCAAATGGGTTGGTGTTGTTATCATCCTGAATGCCCACAATTTTTTGTTAATGAGCATCAAAGATCTATGCCATTTCCATTGGGCAGATATCCCTGTTGTAGTCAACGTGCTTACAGATTTGAAGTTTTACCTAATCAATATGGTTGCAAATACAAGGTCCATAATTTACTATTAGTTTTTTCTGATTATCATAGGGGGGTATAATTTAAAAATGATATGTTTATTAATTATATGCTAACTTATATTTATTTCTTTACTATACTCTTTTTTTTTTTGATTAGGAACATGTACCAAACATCAAAACAGAAAATGACATGAACATATTGAACATTTTCCTAACATATAAAGATATTATATCTATAGAACCACCTCAGCTATTTTATCCAGAAAAAATGGTAAGATTAGTACCACATGATTCAACTATTCAACCAGGAAAATTAATCTGTAAGGAAACAATGTGGTGGAACGGCTTAGAACTTGTACCATCTAGACCACAACTAGGTCTGTTAGGTACAATAAAATACTATAAAATGTTTTTATAAGGAATAAAGAAATGAACAAATGTTTATACAACATAACACACACAAACTTGTTATTGTATAATTTGTTAAGAGACAAATTGTAGAGGATATTAAGTATTTTCTATAAATATAGGTAAAGTTTGGAATGGATCATTATTCCATAAGTCTACTCAAATAATAGATTTAGACAAATCTTTGCAAAAAGATTATCATCAAACAATGGACAAAACTTCTACTAGTTCTTCAGTTACATGCAGCGATGACGATGAATTGGAAATAAATAATGATGATAATACAGATAATGATTCATGTGACAGCGAAGAATCATCAGTATGGTCCAGTTTAAAGACAATTAAGAAATCAAAAAAAAAAATTAAAACTACAACCATCAAAAGGTATAGTAATAATATTTCTTTCTTAATTTTCTATAAACTATATACTAATTGTTTTAATATATAGGGAAAATAGTAGATGTTGGAGTACAAATTTAATGATAAGATATAATCAAGATAACCAAAGAGATTTTGAAGAAAGAGTTAATGCACAAATGATTTCGCTCTTAACAAAACGAACATCTGTAGAACACATTTTATTGGCAAAATCATATAATAGACAACGTAATCAAATTTATAAAAATATTTTACCAATAGGTATGTACTAATTCAATTTATATATAATACATACTATAATATACTATACTATTTCTTAAAACAGGTGGAACCTATATAAGATTAGAAGCAGAATTTCGTGATCAATTGGCTCACACTTATAAAAACTCCTTAACGGGAAAGAATGCAATGCGTTTTAAAAAATAAAAAAATTGTATTCAATACGTTTTACATGTTTTTGTATAATTTCTAATACGAATTAAAGAATATAAAAGAATATAAAAAGATACTATCTACAATGTTTTAAATTTAAATAACACGTTGAGTGCGGCGCCTATTGTGTTATACTTTCCGCTCAGGCGGTGGCAAGTGAGTACTGTAAAATGTGCCAATCTCAACCACATCTTTATTTAAAATGTTTTAATAAAATTCATTACAACTATAACATGAATTTTTTAAATGTAATTCGATATCGACCATCAAAAAGTTAGCTGTCAGTCCCCAGGGACTGACGCCGTCTGAACGGAAAGTTGACTGTTATTCCCTAGGGGGACTAATATAGCACTCAAAGTGTTAATCTAACATAGGATGTCAAACACTTATAACTATATTCACAATTGTTCATAATATCAATTGAAAAATAATATATTAGCACGTTTATGTAGAAAAATAATAACTTATCGTATTATATATTAAATCACTAATCACTTAGAAACAAGAAAAAAAAAAAAGTTAAATTAAACAGAATTTGATTGTTTTCAAATTCAACAAAAATTCGCTGTTTAAAGCATGCAAAATAAATACTTAATAAATATAATGCTTATCGATAACAAAATAGATGAAAATCCATTTTAATATTTGTACGAGTTTGAACTATGGTTTTATAAAATTAATATCTTTGAAAAATTGCTTTATATTTTAGTTGAGTTGAGTATAATTAAGATTTGTTTGTATCAATCAAATTTTATTATTACATCGAAATCATACCAAATCACTTCTATCCATTAGTTTATTGAGTTCTGCTTCCGTGTATACTAAAAAGAATTATTGTTTGTATTTATTATCTCTTTTCTCATAAGACATTGTATTTTTTATATGTAATTAAAAAAAATCATAATGCATTTAGATCCGTAATAAATATTTAAATTTATGAATGTAGAATTGTGCTATATTTTATATAGCTCTAGATAAAGTTAAGTGTAAAAAATAAATAAATGTAGAAAATTACCATTTTCTGAAGATGTTACGGAATAAGATTCAGTTGATTCTAAAAGTTGTTCCAAATCCTTAAGCATTTCTTCAGTACACATATTTATCGAACTACACAAATTTTTAGATATAACCATCTTTTCCAATAATCGTTTAGCGTGAGCACGTGAAACGATTGATTCATCGATTGTTCCTTTAGTACATAATTTATAAATTACAACAGGACGGGTTTGACCGATCCTATGACAACGTGCCATCGCTTGTATATCTACTTGTGGATTCTGCGAATGTTATTCACATTTGATATAATTTTATTTTCAAAATTGTGCATAATTTAATATATAAGATTTAATAATATACCCAGTCACTATCATATATTATCACAGTATCGGCGGATGCAAGATTAATTCCTGTTCCACCAGCTTTAGTAGAGATAAGAAACAAAAATACTTTATGATCACTGTTAAATTGCTTAATCCTTAAATCTCTATCTTCTAATTTATCGGACCCATCTAATCTAAGATAGATATAATTTCGTAATGCGAGATAATCTTCTATTAAATCGAGTATCGTAGTCATTGTTGAAAATAAAAGAACTTTATGCCTTTGGCTCTTTAACTTAGCTAACATTGCATCCAGCACCATAAGTTTGCCAGAAGATTTGATGAGTTTGTTTGAATCACTTCTTGGCATAATAGCTAGATCCAAAGGTTTCAAAAGCAAATACGGATGATTAACAATCTTTTTATATACAATTCCTGAAATATCATAAAACATATTCATTGATAAAACTAGCAGTTTAAATTATTTATTTCTAGAAACAATACATAATAAATATGTATCTGTATAATTATAAAATTTTTTAATTATTTACCCTTATTTTTTAAATTTATATTAAGTAAGAAATCACGATTCTCATCAGTAATATTGATATGCCCTTTCCATAAATCAAGTTTACTTTCTATCTGATCTGTTAGTTTATTTTCTTTTTCTGATACAAAAGATGTCGAATCATTTGAATTTTTATACATATTTTTTAATACGCACTTTCTTTTAGGTCTAATGCCATTTGTTATATCCAAAACAAATTCTTCCTTAGGTTTTTTGCTATTAAGGCTAATGTTCAAAACTGCTTTATATAACTCACGCTGCAAGCAAGTGAGTGGAGCATAAACAATAACTTCTTTTCTAGATGGAATATTTATATTGACATCTGCCTTTTCACGTCTTAAAACAAACGGCTTCAAAATGTTCCTTAACGCTGATAAAACTTGCTTTTCTTCTTCTTGTTTTAAAATTTTTTCTTTACCATCCATACTCTGTATTTCCTTAACATTAAACCAGGATTCAAAAACAGTCAGGTCGTTAAATATATCTGGTAATAAAAAATTAAGAAGTGACCACAATTCAGATAGATTATTTTGAAGCGGTGTACCAGTCAATAAAAGACGGTTCATAGATTTAAATGTTCTTAAAATCCTATAATAAAATATAATAAAATAATAAATGATAATAATACCAGAAATAAATATAAATAAAATAACTTTCATTGTCAGTGCTATATGTCTATTTAAGATATATTGTATATTAGAGATGTTGTGTGTGTCAACTTACTTTCCTAATAGACAATTATAATTTTTAATTCTATGACCCTCGTCTATAATTATATATCTCCAATTTATGTTGGAAATAAAATTACTTTCTTGTATTGGCGTTTCAAATGTGCACAATACAATAGGTGGTGTTTTAAATCCATCCATAATGTGATAAGATTGGGTAATTTTTTTACGGAGAGATTTCCTTACAGATCCTGAGCCATAAAATACTACAACTGGTAAAGATGGGGCAAACTTAGAAAATTCAGAAATCCAATTTGGCAATGTAGAAAGTGGTACAATTATTAAATAAGGCCCAGATTGTCGCTTCTCTATAAGATGACATATCAATGCTATTACTTGAATTGTTTTTCCAAGTCCCATTTCATCGGCTAAAATACCATTTAATCCATTCTCGTAGAGTACTTTTAACCATTCCAGGCCATCTTTCTGATAACTATATAAAGAACCATTAAAATATTTGGGAAATTCAATAATTTCTTCTTGACTTTGAGCATCAGAATTTAACAATTCATCTGCTATTTCTTCTTCACTTAAATTCAATTTATTTTTTAATGTGCTTTTAATCTAAAAGAAAAATTTAAATATATTAAAACGTGGTTTAAATTCTTCAAATGTAAAACAAAACGTGAGCGTATTTTATATGGAGTGACCTATAGGATTGGTGTTTTATCAGTTATAACTAATCGTTCAAGCAAGCAGGAGGTGAATCTACATAAATAACTAACATAAAAATACTTTTTGACTCATTATAGTGTGTATTTTATGTACTGTACAAACATTGAATTTGAAAACACCCTATTTACCTTGGTCGTAACAAATTGTCTTATATCATATTCTTGTTTAACATTTCTTTTCTTTTTTTTTTGCAGTGGTATATTTTCATTCGTAACCGATATTTCTTTCTTCTCCTTTTCATTATCCGTCTTTACTTCCGATAAAGCAAAAGAAATCTTATCCAGCAAACAAGTAGCATAAACTTGGCTTTGATTTAAAAGATGCATCAAACGTTTATATCTTTGTTCGTGTAATTCTTTATCATATTTCTCCTGTGCTATACGTTTCTCTTTAAGCTCTTCAGCACTCTCTTCTTGACTTCTCTTTCGTTTCCCTGCCTTAACTTCAAATAAATTATTATTTTGTTCGGTATAAATTGCAGTTTTATTATCGGACGATTCACCTTAAATAATAATTATTATTAACATGATGACCTAACTATTATCAAATCTCACATGTTTGAATATAACATTTTTTATACTAACTTATTACACTTGATGAACTATTATCATCTATTACGTTCTTGATATTATCGGTGTTATCATCGTTGTTCTCTTTTACGGTTAAAATATTCATATTAATTTTCTCCATTTTTGAAAGATACACAAAAACAAAAAATTAGTACAATTTCTTTAACAAAGAGATACCGAATAAAACATTTGCCGGTAACATTCCCGCCAAATTTAAAGATCAAACTAAATTCTCCATCAATATATATTACCTAGATGGTCAAATATCATACACGAATCGTAACTCGATTACGTAGTTATTATTACTATGCATTATTTACAATTTTTTATGGACAAAAAGTTAGGTAAAAAAGCCACTATGTGATAAAATATTGGTATTTGCGGATTAAACCGTTAGAACTACGAAGTCTATATAAAAAGAGGCGTTTTCGTCGAATTTGTGTTGTTAAAAATAAAAAAATACCAAGTACGATAATTCTCCACGAGGGCGGCGGTGGTGTTTAGAGGTTTGTAGCGTGTTCAATTATATTAGGAAATCACTAATTCACTAGGGAAAAATATTATATAAATATTTTATTATAAAACGTATCAAAAAGGTCTTGTACAAAATATATAACAAACTTAACAAAATCTTAAAGTGTAAAAGGAAGTAGTGACTAGTTTCACGTCTTTGTTTACTGCTCATGAGTACGCGTGTGTCTAGCTCGGTGGTTGGAACGGAAGAGCGAATAGCAGCGGTTGTTCAAATGCGTGGTGTTTTTTTAGTTCTTTTGTTTCGCCACTAGGGGCGTGACGGTAAGAGTGCCGGAGGCGCCAAGCTTTGGCGTGACGGCCACAGGTTCAGATTTAAGTACATGTGATTTTATAAATAAACGCGCTATTGTAGAATCTGCTGATTGGGTGGCGGTTGCATGATGGCATTGAAATTTAAATTTTTTGCAATGCGCAGATACGTCGTTAAAAAAGAGGGCGCTGATTGATGTTGAAGCGCTACATTTAACTGTCGAAAAGATGACAGATGAAAACCATATTCGGCATTGCATGCTTTACGTGTTCCAATTAGGAAGAAAAGCAAATAAGGCTTTGCTCTATTATGAAAAGATCCAGAATTTATTAAATACGAACATTAATTATTTCTTCGTTATAATTTTTTTTTTAATTTTAAACTGTATTGTTAATTTTTATTACTAGTATTATAAACTAATCTATTATTAACTCTTATTTTGTTGTTTTCTTCATCAATAAATATCAACGCCAATACTACTTTCAAATTTGCGCATAGTAAAATATCACGTGATAATAATAATGCTTGTACACGATTGATGGTTATAAAGTGTTTAAACAAATACGCTATTATTTAAATATTTATAACAAGTATGTAATTTGAAATAATTTAAACATTATGTTTTTAAACCAGTTAAGGCAATAATCGATCATTATAATTATAATGTACATCTATATGGTATCATGGCGCTGTCGTGTAAAAACGCATAAAGATAATTTTAGTAGACTAATAAATAATTGATGCATTGTAATTTAAAAGAATTTTCAATTTTGAGAATTTCAATTTTTTAATAATTATTGTATTATTTTCAAATAATTAATTAATGTATGAAACATTTTACTCTCTAGCGTAAGTGTAGGTTACATTTATGCATGCATATATACATATACATGACACATAGCACACACGTTCGGTATAAATGTGGTCGTGTTCTTTCATAAAACAACAATAAAATAATCATCGTTTTAAGGTACTATTAATAAATAAAATAGTAATTGTCAAAAGAGTCTTTTTTTGTATTTGCTCTTATAAATAAAGACTGTTTCATTATTCACGCACATATATTAGTATAGATTTAGAAATCATTCTGTATAAAAAAAGAAGAAATAAAAATATACATGTCTTCTATTTCAGATGATGTGGTCCCTAATAACAAGAATTGTGCATAGAAATATACCATACATAGCACTTCCATTTGGTTGTGTTATCGGTTTTATTGGATACCATATAGAAGGATTGATATCCAATAAATATACACCTGCAACTGCTCCTGTTAATCAACAACGTCAAGAGAGATTATTAGAAAATATAGATTCTATGTCTACTAAAAAACATAATCCTTTAGATGTTAATCTTTCACCTTCGCTTTCTAACTGATGTATATATGAAACAAATTTAAGTATTCATATATTTCTTAATCGTTTTAATGCTGATAATTTAATGTGCATTATGTAATATATATGTATAAATATAATAGTACAAGTTAAGCCATTTTAGTTATAAAAATAATTATAAAAATCCTATATTTAAATATTATTTTGTAAATTTACATTCGTCCTGTATATTTTTTTCTATTATCCTAAATGCAAAGATATCATCTATTATTCAGCTTTAATTAAATAATCTCATTTTTGTATTTTATGGTTTAAAAAATTAGTCACAACGCGCAGTCACATATTTTTAGAGTAATTTTAATATTTTGTTTCATGGTTATTATCATATATCTCATTAATAACTTATGCATTTAATGATTTTATTAATATAAACCAAGTTTGGTCCGTGCATATTTATGCATACGCGTGTTAAGTCACATATATACATTTAAACATTTTCTAATTTATAATTTTCAATATTGAACATAATCTTTTAAAGAATCACATTCTTTTGTTAGAAATAAATGACATAGACATAATAATAATACGTTCACATATTCATTATTACCATTACATTCAACGGTCAGTAACATGTCAATTTTATTTTTCTTTCTTTTAAAGTTTATGACTAGGTAGCTTAAGTCTTTTTGAATAATCTTATCTACTACTTATATTACTTAACTAAATATTGAGATTATACTCTGAGATTTATCTCGTCATTATACGAAACAATAAAGCACAGACCTAAGAGGTACACAAATTTAAAATAACAATCTTTTAAAAAGAATATATTTTAGTATTCAGTATTTTATAAAAAATCTAGAATATTTTGTTAAGATTAAAATTAATACTTTTTTGCAACATAAATTTATTTTTACCATCACTTTTTTTTACTTGTCGCATGACAACGAAAATAATACAATACGCATTCTTCGATATTCTATCGAGTAAAACTATTTTTATATAGCACAAAAACAGTATAGAATTATATACGTGGAGAAAAAAAAAGTAACTTCCCTTTAGTTTTACAATGAAAGGGTCATATTAAATTTTTTCTTTGTATGTTTGTTTTTATTGTAGATAAATATGCTTTCAAAAATATAAAATCTTTATAAATTAGCCTCGTTTGATCATTTAATTGCAACTAGACTGTAGAAGATTGAAAATAAACATTAATAATATCTCGAAACTCAAAATTTGGAAACGATAAACCTTTATGTAAATGTTGTTGAAAAATTGTTTCAGCGATTCAAAATCTGCGTTCAAAATATTTATCTACATTAAATTATAATAAATGTTATATAAGTAGTTTTATTTTTTAAAATTTTGAATTTTTTTTATCTTGTCAATAAATAAAATAATTTTAGTATTTTATACTGAATATTATGTAAAGATTTTTAATTAATCTAATATAATAGAATTAAATTAATAACATTATATCGTATACATATAAAGATGTTTATATCATAGAGTCAGAGATGCCTAAATAGACTTACAATTAGCTTATAAGAATAATAAGTGTTACTTGAATTGTTATGCTTGCTATTGCAAATACATTGACCTCATTGCAATACGTAATGTATGTTATTTTAATAGCACTTAGCTTTTATATTTTGTTCATTTACAAAATGTATAATTAGATTAATAAAGCTCTAATAAAGTAGAAATGAAGATTAATCCGTTAGACATCTCTATCACAGATAATATTAATATATTTTTGATTATATATAAGTACGCAATTATTCTACATTAATTTACAAATAATAATAAAAAAAGAACAAAATATATTTATATGTGTATATAATTGTAATGCATTGCAAGTGCTCGTTTTTAAATAACATTAAATTGCCTTAGATTGAATATCATGCAATTACATTATAAGTTATTTGTTCGTATTTATTATTTTACAGATTGTAAAGATAAATGTATGCTATAAAAAGAGCATCTATAATGTTCATTTAAGCTTTATTCATATTGCCATTTAATAATGCTTTGAAAAATGGATATGTAGTAAGAATTATTTGATCAATATTATAGAAAACATTTATTAAACTAATAATACTAAAATTTCTTTAATAATAAATAAATAATACCTTATATATTAATATACAAGATTATAGAACTGAATACATTTTTTGGCTTCCTGGTAAGACTTTAAATACTTATTTAAGTAATTAAATATTTTAAGTTTCAAAAATTTTTCATTAATCAATATTTTCAACCTATCTATTTATCTATCTATCTATCTATCTATCATAATGATATTTCTTCATGACAATGATATTGCTATTTTCATAGACTTACTTACAGGTACTGATTATATGCACATATGATACGTTGCTGAACATATGGTACTTATACAAGTACTACAGGCAGTTTGTACTCTTTGTTAACAACATAAAATTTATGTTTATTACCAAATATGCCCCATATAACAGCAACATTCTCAATAATTAAATTAAAAGGAATAGTTGATAGCGCTCCACATATACAAAATAAAAAACGAACAACGCCAAAACGATATAAGGAAAATGATTTGACTACTCCAAATACATACATATAAATATTAACTGCTCCTATAAAAGCGCACAAAAAATCTATAAGTGGAGAACAACTAATAGGACATAGCCCTGCTAAAACTATATTAGAAGTAGATAAGGGCATCGTTATCCACGAGTAACACGATATACCTAGTAGCAATTTTTTTTTCAACGGAATTGCTTTGGAATGCACTACTAATAATATACCTTGTAGCCACCTTTTTCTTTGTTGTACAAAATCCCATAAAGTAAACGGCGATTTTTCCCACATTTCTCCGTCTACAAAATTAAACGTGTAACCTTGAGAAAATGCCTTCATTGCAAAGAAACAATCCTCCGCCACAGATCCGTCTAAACCATTGTTGAATGAAACTTCTCTTTCTGCTGCCATCTAAAACATAGAAAAATGTTGTTTAAACAAACCCGATTTAGTAATAAAAAATATCATCTACTAATTACCTGCGTGACAACATAAGAACCTTTCATACTAAATAATGGTTTATGAAACATTGTAAATTGTAATCTTAATTTTCCCATATCGTCTGCTACTCTAAAGCTATCTGCCAATGTTGTTATCCAATTAACAACATCTTCATTAGCATACGTGATTAGGCCTTGGCCAAATTGGTGCTTTCCGTCCAATACAAAATTTAATATTCCACGAACCGAATTTTCCGTCATTAATGTCTCTTCATCCAAATGTACAATCCAATCATGATCAGCTAATTCGTTAACCGAATTTTCAAGGCAGTATTGTAAAGCGCGCGCTTTAAACAAAGCACCACTACTTGTACGATAATTAGCAGGTACAACAATTTCTCTAATTCTACGATGAGGTACCAACCCTATTGGTTTATCACTTACTACTTCTATTTGGAAGTTTTCAAGGCCCGCTTCTATACATTTATTTAAATTTCTATTTACATTAGTCTTCACTAATTGCGGATAATCACCACGCGTTACTATTCTGATACAAATAAATGGAGCCAATAAGGGTGAACCTTTTAAAACGACTTTATCCGGAAATGCGTTATAAATTGTCAATCCAACAAAATTAAATAGAACTTGAGGAAGTGAAAGAAAAGTCACACTTCTTAATAGATACAATATTAGAGCACCAACAAATCCATATCTGACCCAGGGATCTAATTGTTCTGTTTTATTGGTGTTCCATTGCAGTCCTCCGGAGACAAATTCAAATATAAGAATAACAACTAGCAGCAAGCAACAATGTAAAATATGTTTCATAATACTGCTCAACATTATGCCTGTAAAATAAAATTCAAATATTTTATTATTTATAAATGTGTAACAAATCATTTTAAAATAATAAATTTTTTGAATTATAGATATACTGTTTGCTAATACATCTGTGTGTGTGTGTGGATGTTAAGATTAAATAGTCAGAAACCAGAAAAAAGAAATAAAATTCATACATATATATATACATATATATATATATACATATATATACATATATATATATGTGCATGTATATGTCATTGTAAAGGCTAATTAGTTTAATTTACCTAGAATGACATTGAAAGTAGAAAAAGTATATATATATATAAATGCCAGCACTAATAATTCTAAAATGTACAACTATTATCTTATCTTGAAATAAGAATAATTGGCTGAGATTATCACTGTGAAAGAATTCTATGAAATCTTATCATTTTTGTACCTTTTATCTTAAATCTTAAAAAATAGTATAAGTAATATTATATATCTAAAAGTTCACAATAAATTGAGTATAATTAAAATGGATAATTAAAAAATGTTGCAAAATTTAACGATAATATTAACGATAAAATAATAAAATAAAATTAGAAAATAGTAAACATTGTATAAGTCAGGTTTATTAAAACTGTAATCAACTTAACCTATAATAAACATACATATAAATATATTGTACCTTCTTTTTACGTTGAACTTTTAATTGGAAATACGTTCAGAAATGTTTGTTTAGCCCATTGCCTGTTAAAAAGGCAATAAGTAAATAAAATATAAATATAAATTTTACGAAGATACTAGCAAGATAGTCGTCATTTTTCCAATGTTGCACTTATTTTTCAGTCTTACCATCATTTACTAAAAAAACGTATTCACCATACTATCCTCTTCTCAGCCAATATAAGCTCATTTCTATATAACGATAATTGATACCATTCGATGTAGTGATAGGTTGAACACGAAAATAATATTTTTGGATAGTTTTCTATTATTCTTCTTGTAAATAAGACAACTATGTTTCTACTATATTTTTACGTTATGATGACAATCGTACCATTCTTAATCCTTTTGCCTCTTTAAGTTCTGACGTTTCATACTAATCTATAGTATAGAACTTTCATAGATTTAGATAATAGATTTTTGACGCTAGTGTTTTATGATAACCAGTGGTAACTCTTTGTCAAAGAGTCTGTTGTAATTTAACACATTTTTATTTAAATGTAAATTTAATTTTTATTTTGAATACATTGTCTAAGAATTTAATCATAATTCTAATAACGAATATATGATTGTTTTTAGATATATATTAAGTGATCAATCAGGTAATATAAATTATATGACAAGTTATATATTTTTTTATTAAGCATCTTGATTCTTAGTAATTCTCTCTCTCTTTCTCTCTCTCTCTCTCATACTCTCAATCTCTTTGTCTATATATGTATAATATATAAATTTTATACACGTATACATACATATGCGCTCACACATGTTTTGCCCTATGTAATTATTACATTTACGTATAATTATGATTGATAAGAAATGTTTT